TTACTATATGAAGTTGCATTGAAATGAGTGGACAGAAACTGGATCTGCCTTTTTAGGTGTTTGTCTAGAGCTCATTTGCTTTTGAAACTGGAGCTTTTTTAAACTAAGGAAAAAATTCTTGACGGGATGCTCAAACATCATGTGCTGGTTTGGGCTGGGGTGGAGTTAATTTTCTTCCTAGTAGTTGATATTGGATTTGTGCTGAAAACAGTGTTGATAATAAAGGGACGTGTTCATTATTGCTGAGCAGTGCTCACAAAGAGTCAAGCAAGGTCTTTTCTGCTCCTCACCCCACCCACCAGTGAGAGGCCTGGTGGTGCACAAGAAGTTGGAAGGGGACACAGCCGGGACAGCTGACCCCAACTGACTAAAGAGATATTCCATACTATAGAGCATCATGCTCAGTGATAAAACTGGAGGGAGAAAGAGGAAGGAGGTGGTGTTCAGGGTGATGGTATTTGTCTTCTCAAGTAACTGTTTTTCTGTGATGGAGCCTGGCTTTCCTGAGATGGCTGAACACCTTTCTCTTTCCTGGGCATAGTGATGCCCCTCAGTGTTTTGTGTGGGGCTCAGAACTGGACACAGGATTCAAGGTGTGGCCTCACCGGTGCCTGAGTACAGGGGAGAAATCACTGTCCTGCTCTTGCTGGCCACATTGCTGATACAGGCCAGGATTCCATTGGTCTTCTTGGCCACCTGGGCACACAGTGGCTCATGTTCAGCCACTGTTGAGCAGCACCCCCAGGTTCTTTCCCACTGGGCAGCTTTCCAGCCATTCTTCCCCAAGTCTGTAATGTAGCCTGGGGTTGTTGTGACCTAAGGGCAGGACCCGGCACTTGGCCTTGTTGTGCCTCATATGACTGGCTTTGGCCCATTAATCCATCCTATCCAAATCCTTATTTTGTTTTGCTTGTGTGTGTGGCCTTTGTCTTTCATATTAAACTGTCTGTCTCAAGCCACAAGCTTTCTCACTTCTACTCTTCAGCTCTCCCTGCTTCCACTGTGGGGGAGTGAGCAAGTGGCTCTGTGGGGTGAGTTGCCAGCTGGGGTTAAACCATGGCACACTGGAACAGGTTGTCTAGAGTAGCCTTGGAGTCTCCATTCTTTCAGGTGATCAACCCCTGGCCAGACAAGGCCCTGAGAAACTTCTAGCTTTGAAATGAGCTGTGTTTTGAGCATAGGATAAGGACAGGTGACTTCCAAATCCTTGTTTAAACCTAAATTATTTTGAGTTTTAAACTCCTCCAAGTTAATAAAGCAAACTGAATTAAGTGTATTTGGAAGAGAGCTTGGACTCAAAAGTGCTAATAAAGGATATTAGAATTTATTTTGGGTAAGAGAAGAATTGATGTACAAAGAGAAGTGGCTGCATCAATGAGTTAGCTTCTTTCTCTGTAGTCCTGCCATACCTGTTGGTGTGTTCTTAACTCACAGAACATAGAGAGTAATTTGTATAAATTCATCTTTTCCCCATGGTGTTGAGGGATGTGGTGAAGAATATGCATGTGGTTTTTTAGTGTAGCTCAGCTGACATACTATATTTCATTGGTGTTCTAATAACTTGATGACATGCCTAGATCTTTTGGAGGCTTACTTATCAAGACTAAGAAGAAATACTTGATGCGGTGCAGTATGAAAAATGACTGCTTAAGGTAGAGATTAGTAAAAGAATTGTAGAGAAGGAGCTGGGAGAAGTGATTAGTAGAATTAGAAGAACTATTATCAAATAGCAGTAATTGCAGTGGAGTTCACTAGGAATTGGTTATGACTTTAGCATTTCTACTAGTGTGGCATATTGTGCTATTTGATGTGAGGAAAATAGTCAGTACACAGGTAACTTTACAAGAATGTGCTCTGAGGAAGCTAGACTGCCAGGAGAGAAAGCAGTTGTCTGGAGTAGAGTGGGTGGCACAGCTGAAGCTTCGTATGAAATGACGCATGAGGTTCTTGCCATCTGTAGTCAAAAAAAAACAGATAGGTGCACAGATGAAGGGAGAGTGGAATAGGGAGTTTGGCAAAATAATCTAGGAGGAGCTGAGTTCATCTCAGCAAACGTGATGAGGCACTAATCACCAAACCAGGATAAGAACTCTTGTCAGTTAATTAAAGAAGTTGGCACAAGGATATTTTTATGTAAATTAATTACATTAAAGCGTCTGCTCGTCTTAATGTTAAAGGTTTTCTGTAAAACCATGGAAGAGAAGAATATCACAAATTTAGAGGAGATGTCACCATTAATTTCTGTTACATAATGTAACACAACTTTTAGAAAGGAAGAAGCAATCATTTCTAGAATACTTTTCTTGCAGTCTTGCAAACTCGATCACTAGCTCTGCATGGCGTTGCAGAAGCAAGGGGAACAGGTTTGCTAAAAAAAACATGGTCATAGAACGTGTATTACCCTTAGAAATCTAATTACTTGGGCTGTTAGTTCTATGCCATGATAAGGAATTTTGCTGCTTAGTTGCACAAGAAATTAAGTTGTCTGTACCATAATTATGTTAATAGTTCTGCTGGTAATGTTCATAATCTCTTCACAATTTTAAATACTGAAAACTATCAGGTATCTTTAATCATACGTATTCTGAGAGCAAAAGCATTTTCTTTGCTTAACTGACTGGAACTGTTACTTTGTAGTGTGTTGTGAGCACTGTATTTTGTTTTGTTACAGTAACAAACAGTTCTATGAAACGTGGAAAAGCAGCACTAGTGCTTCTGCACAAGTCTTCTGCTCCCTTTGTGCTCTGTTTCCCTGTATGTATAATTAATATGGGTTCTGACTCTCAGCAGACCTATTTTGTAAGCTGCCGTGTTTCTTAACATTTATGTGACGCTAGAATATGACCCCAAAAGGAAACCCTCACATTCTTTTCTGCTAGATTAATAAGTTAGATCAGTGCACTGAATGGCTTGACAAGTAGCAGAATTAGCACCAGGGGTGGAATAAGATGGGTTAGGTAGGATTGGTGTTGGGAGAAGACTAAGAGGGAAAAGTGTGAAGCAAGACTTACCTTGTTGGCAGTATTAGACTGTTGATGTGTTCAACTGCAGTCAGTTAAGCAGTCTGCTGTCTTTTTACTCAGTTTAATGTGATTTTAATAGGTATATATGGCCATGATAATTACCTCAGATTTTGTGACTATTTTACACTTCTATACTGTTAGTTATGTAGGTAATGAGGCCTAATTTTATAGACCGTCATTTACTTCTACCATCATAAAACAGTCTTCCTGAATTTTGTTTCTCATGTTAAGTAAACAGAATTTTCCTGTGAACATCAGGGGAGGAGGAGTTGCAAGCAGCGATGTGAGGTACATCAAAGTGCCTTAGGTCTTTTCACTTTGCTCTTACGCTAATAATTGAAAATAACATAAAATATTATTGTATGTACAACTCACAATTGAAGTAAAACTGGATAGAAAGCAAGTAGTCTTTTAAGCAGTGAGGGACATATGATGGGAAGAAGGTAGAGTCCAGGCATGTAAATCCATCAGTAGTAAAGTTTTTTTGGTTTCTGCTGGGAGAATGGTGTGGTGGGGAGGGAGCTGCATGTGTGTGTTTTTTTAATTTATTAAAGTGGGTTCTGCTGTAATTGAAATGACAACAACAGGCTTTATAAAAATAAGAAAAAATTAGAAAAAATAAGAAAAAAATAACACAAGGGAGTTGTGGAAATATTTTTTGTGAAATTAAAAGTATATAGCTATAGCTGTTGTTGAACAGCGATGTAGGAACTGTACAAAAAGAAACCGAATTATCACTGAATCCCCACTTGATGTCATTGTTCCAGATAGTGATGTTTTACCCACTTCACTGTATTTGTTTAAAAATCAAAATTCCAAGCTTCTAATCATAATCCACAGTTATACATCGTAATAGAACAACATCATGCAGAGTTATGTATCAGTACAGGACAATAATTCTAGTTTCTGTTCAGGTAATTAAACCTTTGAAGCAATCAATTTTTATTTCTGCTGTTAGTGTTTGTGCAGTTTTAGTAAATTGCCACATATTAGCGTCCTACCTGCAAATTTTAGAGAGGCCGATTAGTCTCAGCATGTGCCTGGAAGATTGCCAGAGCTCTGGTAGTGATTTTCTTGCTTGATGTGATTGTCTGCACTTTTGATGCCTCGTGTTGCGTCAGTGGACTTCTGCTCGAGCAAGTGGGACCAACTCCTAAAATTCTAACCATCTGTTGGAGAAGTCCCCTATCAGACATGTGTGTCTAAGTAAATACAGCAGTTCCATGCTGATTTTCACGGCCGTTTTTAAAATTTCATTGCTTGACTATGGTGTAATGAAAACCTGCATGCTAGTAAAGGTCAGTAATGAGCTCTCACACAGAAGTAGCATTTTTCTTAATTTGACAGGTGTGTCACTTTATTGAAGAACTACTAAAGCATTTAAAACTTACCAGTCTGGACAAGCTAACGCTTTGGGACTACTGCATTATTTTGAATGAAAGACTTGTGTTCCACTGCTTAGAGAAAACTCAACACAAACACCACCCCCCCTTATGAAGTAAATAATCATCTACATGAAATACCAGGAATTGTAGGGACAGAACACAGAGTAATGGGTACAAATTGAAAGAGGGGACATTTAGGTTAGGTGTTGGGAAGACATTCATTACTCTGAAAGTAGCAAAACAGCTGAAACAGGTTGCCCAGGGAGGTTGTGGGTGTCCCAGCCCTGGCAGCACTGGTCTTGAGTGATCTGGTCTAGTAGAAGTTGGTGTGGAGGTTGGGACTAGATGGTCTTTAACATTCTGTGATTATGTTCTACATGTCGATCCACAGAAATTTAAGAATGATACAGCCTTTTTCATGGGGATGGAAGATGGTTAATAAAAACCATTAAATGAGAGTATGCACAAATAGAAGGCTGCTCCAGATCTGTCTGTAGAACAGGCAAAGTATTAATCAAATCTGCGACTTTGCAATGTGTAGGCATCAGCTTTGTACGTTGGATTAATTACTTACTGTCTTCTGCCAATACAGCCAGCAGCCAGCTTCGGGTGTAGCCTATTCCCATCCAACCACAGTTGCCAGCTACACTGTGCACCAGGCCCCGGTGGCGGCACACACGGTCACTGCAGCCTATGCCCCGGCCGCAGCCACGGTGGCGGTGGCCAGGCCTGCCCCGGTGGCTGTGGCAGCTGCTGCCACGGCTGCTGCCTACGGTGGCTATCCCACAGCACACACAGCTACAGACTATGGCTACACACAGCGGCAACAAGAAGCTCCACCACCACCACCTCCTGTCACCACGCAGAATTACCAGGTAGGTTCCTGCTGTGTGATTTTTAAAAGGTGCTTTGAGAGGAGGAAGCCTGTTTGGAAAAGAAAATGTGATTTTGTGCAAGTGCTGCTGTAAAAAAAAAAAAGCACTGTCTTCTGTTAGCTTAGATGTTGGCTTGGTGTGCAGTAAACTGGGTCATGGAGCTGAAAAGACTGTTCCAGTAAAAATTTTCAGTAGAGGTAGAAATAGTTCCTTTGTCAGATTCCTGGGTGCTGCTGGAATCTAGTACCAAGCCTATGAGGATAGAAGGTTGCCCTAGGAGATAAACTACCCTGTAGGTAGTTTTTAGATATCCTCTTCTGAGATCTCTGCCTAACCATCTGTGGATACACGCTCTTGAAACAGGGCTTTTGCTCTCTGTCCCCTTTCATCTTGAAATACTGTGTTCTTGCAATAGTTTTTCAGCTTTTTAATTCTGAACTTACCACGGCATTATCTAGATTCTAATTAGCATTTTGGTTTGTTTAAAAGGACTGTATTATTGCTGCATGTTCTCAATTCTTTTTTACATCTTCTGTAATTCGTTCTGTATTATGAGGTCACTTATTAGATACATTTGGAAAAAAAGGAGTCCCCTAAATGAAATAAAATAATTCCTGTTTACACAGGTTGGGCAAAAAAATATTTTGTTGTTGTATTTCTTGGAATTAAAAAGGATTTTAATGCAGTAGTGTGCTTCAGCTCTAGTAGTTCATGCCTTGTTCCCCCTCAGTTGATAAACTTTTGTGTTTTACCATAAACATGGTGAGGATGGGAGAATGTATGTACATGCATGTAGTGGCTTCCAGGTTATCCCCTTCTAAGCTTATTAGACATCTACTGAGTTGTAAAGGTATCAAATGAGCTACTTGCCTTGCCTTTGAAGATTAGTTATGGTTCCCTAATGAACTAGTTGATACACCAAAAAGTAAAGAAGGCTTTAAAAATACCACTGTCATACTCCAAAAAATGTAACCAAGAAGAATGTTGTTAATGATGAGAATTTTAAAGCCAATACAAGCTCATGTTTCTGCCCCTGAGAATTTATTGGGCCTTGTAGAAATTCATGTTTTGTAGAGATCTATGGTTGGTTTTTTCTTAATATTTTACAGAAATAGAATCTGATACAGTCATTAAAAACTTTTGAGAGTAGATGCTTTTCAAAAATAATTTGGTAGAGAAAGTAATAACATGAGGATAATTCCAGTGTTGAGTCTGTAAGAGGAGGTTGGGGCTGTTTCAGGCCTGAAGTATCTATGAAAGTAAGTTTAATTTCTCTAATGCATTTATTGGTATATACTGTACATGTAGATGAGGAGGTTTCATTCTACTGGAGTAGGCTGGAAGACAGTATGTTGTTAATTTGACTGTGCTGATCATGTCTATTACGCTAGTGATATACCTACATGTGGTTTCTCTGTTTTGAATCCTTAGGATTCCTACTCTTATGTTAGATCCACTGCCCCGGCTGTGGCGTACGACAGCAAACAATATTATCAGCAGCCAACCGCGACTGCGGCGGCCGTGGCTGCTGCTGCCCAGCCACAGCCCTCAGTGGCTGAGTCCTACTACCAGACAGGTGGGTGGCATGATTCAAGCTGCTCTTGTTACTCACAGTCTTGTCAACTACTTTAAGCCTTAAAAATAGTTGTTTGACTGCTTCACATTATCTTCTTTTTTTGTTTTAAGTTTTGTTGTGTAATCTCTGTCACTGTGTGGAAAGTTTTTCTGTGCCTAGAACTACAACACTTGTGACATTGCCATAAGTAGCTGCCTCTGAGGTTTGGACTGCCACTAAATATACTCAAAACATACTTCTAGGCAAAATTCTTTATGATTTGTCTAGAACCCTTGCTGAGGTAGTTCAGGTAATCAGTGTTGTGTTCAGATGATAACTCAATTAGAAATAATCTTTTGATTCTCTAGGTACTTCATGTATATAATTCTGTAATTATTTGTATCATGATTGCTACAAGGCATGAATCCTGCTTAGTTTTTTTTAATGTAGAATTAAGAGGAAAGTTTAAGTGTGCTTTGGTTTGGAGTATTCTAGTAAAACTGTTGGATAAGAAGGTTGTTTAAAACTGTGTTAAAAACATGATAGCACTGCTAAAAATAAATAAATAAATTTAAGGCTTACTACTGTGAGCTGTGACTTGATTGAGATACGTGGTATGCAATGCATAGCCATGACAGTAAAGCAACCCAATGCACAACTCTAAAAAGCAAAACAAATGAAACAAAACTCCCAAAACAAACCCCCACTTCTTACACATTTGTTCACAAGCATGTTGTTAATTTTCCCTTAGTATGGTTTGCATTTCACTCAACTAAAACATGTCAATGTGTCTGCACTTGTATTTTCTCTCATGATTAGCTCCAAAAGCAGGATATAGCCAAGGGGCAACTCAGTACACCCAAGCCCAGCAAACGCGGCAAGTGACAGCTATAAAACCTGCAACCCCGAGTCCAGCAACAACGACATTTTCCATATATCCGGTGTCCTCGACTGTGCAGCCAGTGGCAGCTGCAGCCACTGTTGTTCCATCCTATACTCAGAGTGCGACGTACAGCACAACAGCAGTAACTTACTCTGGTAAGAATTTTGCATGTTTTCTTGCTAGGATCTTTGAAGTTGCTGCAGAAGAGGCTTTCAATGCTGAGAATTTTGGCGTTTCATGCTCAATTACATCATAGTCTGCTGAGAGGTAGCAGCCAGTTCAATCATTACAATGGCAGAATGTTTTGTTGTATCTTTAAAATAGTTTTGATGTCTTAGGTTTCTATTTTGTTAGCTATGAGAACAAAGTGCTGGCATTGCTACCTGAGCAGTGACATATTGTAAGGTGAAAAATAAAAAAAACGGGGAATACAAAACATAAGGAAATGCATCCACAGAGATGTTACTCCCAGAAAATGGGAAGGGTGCATGCAGAGACAGAGAGAGACAGTTTAGTATACATCTTCTCAGTTTGGGTTGTCCTGACCCAAAATGGAATGAGAAATGTGTGCTGGAAAGACTTTATTCAACCATTAGGAATCCAAAACATAGTTAAAGATGAAAATATGGTAGCTAACAAATTGCCATAGATGGTAATTAACTGGCATGTTATAGCTACCCTGAACTTTTTGTTTTCTTTTGTTTCTTGCTTAAAAAGGGATTTTAATGCTTCCTTGAGATAGAGCCCAGTTTCCTTGATTTATTCAGCTAGAATTCAGGGACTGTGTAGCCAGATTTTAGTGAATGAAACATCTTCTCTATACCAAAACAACTTAAATCACTGAAATAGGATGTAATAGCACTAGATGTTCTATCTTTTATCTTCATTTTTTCCCCTTCCTCTCTATATTACCAGTCCTTGCCATTTGGAAATGTAAACAGCAAATCAGATTCTAGAAGATTCATGTGGCCTTTGCTAAATCTTTCACTAAAATTCCTTTTCCATCATACCCAATCTTACCAGATGTAACAGAAAATTTCATACGTTCTCTAGGGATGCTTTGATATATCTAGCTTAAGTGTGTGTCTGCAAAGATGTGTCTAGAATTTAATATATTCCAACACAATCGTTGGCTGTATATTTGTTTACTGTGAAACATGAAGCCAAATACAAGACTGCCTGACAAGATTCAGTGAATTACTTACGTCTTGCCTTGCCCCTCAACTGTTATGCAACATGATTTGAATTAGTGTATTATGTAATTGATACATTATATATGATGATGTAACATTTGTTTTTATTTTCATTTTTCAGGTACCTCCTATTCTGGCTATGAAGCTGCAGTGTATTCAGCTGCATCATCCTATTACCAACAGCAGCAGCAGCAACAACAGAAACAGGCGGCAGCAGCAGCTGCTGCTGCTGCTGCAACAGCTGCTTGGACAGGGACCACCTTTACTAAAAAGGCACCATTCCAAAATAAGCAACTGAAACCAAAACAGCCTCCCAAACCACCCCAGATCCACTACTGTGACGTTTGCAAGATCAGCTGTGCTGGACCACAGGTATCTGTATTATGTATTATTCTACTGTGCTTTATTCTACTATACTTTATTCATAATTTCTTCAGCTAAAAAACCTTACCCTCTTAAGAGTCACAGAATTGCAGAATGGCGTGGGTTGGAAAGGACCTTGAAAATCATCCGGTTCCAGCTCTGTGCTGTAGGCAGGGACACCTTCACCAGAGCAGGTTGCTCAGAGCCCCATCCAGCCTGGCCTTGAGCACTTCCACGGATGGGGCACTCACAGCTTCTCTGGGCAGCTGTGCCAGCGCATCATCACCCTCACCATAAAGAATATCTTCTTAATACCTAAACCTGTTTTCTTTCAGTTTGAAGCCATTGCCTCTTGTCCTGTCACTCCATGCTTTTGTGAAAAGTCTTTCTTCATCTTTCTTACAAACTTCCTTTATGTACTGGAACATCCCAGTTAGGTCACCCCAAAGCCTTTTCCAGGCTGAGCAAACCAAATTGTCTTAGCCTTTCCTCACAGGAGGGGTTCTCCATCCCTCTAATCAAGAGTATTTGTAATTTTTAGACCTGATTCTATACTTGTACTAAAGGAATAATGAAATAAAAATGTGTACTATTATAGAAAGAGTTCTTGTTGAAGGCATAAAGATACGCCCCGAGTTTTTACAGAGGAACTTCACCAGACTTCAGAATTATTTGAAACTTTAAATGTGATTTGTTTCTTTAGCTTAGGAAACTTCTTAGAAAATAGTGTTTTGAAAGCTGTGGAGTTACGCAAGTTTTGTGAATGGGAAACCTGAAAATTTATTCTTCATTATATTCCAGTTTCCCAGTTTAGTGTCACAGTGGTAAAACTGCCTAGAAAGTAGATACAAAGTCATGCAGAATATTTATGTCTGAGTCTGGCTAATCAGTTCTTTTACTTTAGGTAAACTAGTCATTATTTCCTATCCTGTCTGCTCTAGATTGCCAGGGTTAATATAGGAACTAATACCAACCTCTGTATTTTATTTCCAGTACAGGTTTATTTGTGCACTGCCTTCTTTTAAATTGATTTTTCTGTTTATCTGGATACACATAAAGTTTGAGTGAAGCTGAAAAATCAAGAATGCAGGAAACTGCAGTTTCTGATCCTATCAAGTTTTTAGTGGTGGTACGTCTCGACCACTACTCGATTGGGAAGTTGACAAGTTAGAGGAGAAAAACCTGTATTGTTTTACCTAAGTGTGGGATCCTGATGCTGGAGAGGAAAATTTTCTGGTCTTAGAAGTGGCCTGTTAATGCATGCCATAGCGCGGGAATGTTAAGTGTAGGAGGTACTTCCTGGCTAAAATGTGTGTTTTCTGCCATGTTCTGTATTACATGTATTCACGGGAATGATGAACCAGCTTACTGTATGTTTTGTTTATTTAAACAGACTTACAAAGAACACTTAGAAGGCCAGAAACACAAAAAGAAAGAAGCAGCATTAAAAGCTTCCCAGAACACCACCAACAACAGTACTTCTGCTCGTGGAACTCAGAATCAGTTGCGCTGTGAGCTCTGTGATGTGTCTTGTACCGGGGCAGATGCTTATGCTGCCCATATCCGTGGAGCCAAGCATCAGAAAGTAAGAGATTTCTCTTGTTCTTACCATGCAAGTCAGTATATACATTTCTCCCCATAATTTTTTCTCATTTTAAGGAAGAAGAAAATATGCAGAAACAGTATAATTTAAACTATTTTATTTGAAGATTTTAGTTCTTCATTTCCTTTCAAACTTGTCTTTAGGCTCACTATTAGAAGGGGATTGTTGAGAGGAAGTGGGAAAACATTGAGATGGCATCAATGAAAAGAGGATATATTGGGATATCATTCAAATCACAGGAAGAAGGTGTGGCATGAGATGAGGGAAGGGTACCATTGAGGACACGTGGTACTATGCTTGTGCCCCCTAACTTTCCTCAAGACCTTTCTTTAGGTTCATCTTACTTGTCGGGCTGGGACAGGAAATCTTTCAGTGCACTTCGAAACACTGTAAGCTAAACCAGTGCAAAGAACAGGTGTTAGGCATCATTCTTTGATAGTTCCTGCAAAGAAAATGTCCTCTGGAAACAAGGAGCTATGTCCTATGGTAGACTTTATAATGCATATGTTTAGAAGATTTCTGGTATGCATGTTTTTCTTATTGTTTGGGTGCTCTTTTATTCTGGAATAAAAACTGGGGGCTGCCCTGTGAAATGCTGTGACCTGTGTTTTAAACTTGGCCATACAACAGTAAGTGCAATGATAGGTAGAATATGTGTGTAAGAATCACAGATTTTCCTCATAACTCTGGAAAGATTAATGTCACTAACAAATACAGTATTAATACTCTGCTTTTATAACTCTTTACATCTCAGGACACAGGCATCAGTATCATTGTTCCTACTAAAATAAATAAATCTCATAGCATGTTTAAAATAATCTTCCTCCAAGAGCAAAAATCAAAATTTAGAGAACCTTGTCCAGGTAGTAAACTGAGCCATTACCTTCTTGGGTGGTTCTCCATAATTCCATAGGTATATGGAGTACAGTATGTATTATCCTTTTATATTTGGATATAGTTTTCTCTTTGTGATAGTTGCAAGCCATTGCTGGGTTTAGGTTCTTACCAGTGTGAAAATGGTATCTCGAAGGACTATATTGCTGAGGTAACTAGAGAACGGTGTGCACTCCACTGGAAAAAAGTAATTTTGAACAGTTGCTTGGGTTTAAATTTATACTGTTGTGTGACATTAATATGTCAGTATTCTGATATGGAAGATAAAAAAGAAGAACAAAAGCCTAAGAAATCAATTTGGACAGTTGTGTGCATATCATGATTGTGTATATGTTCACGTTTAAGGCATGTCTCACAGGTTTGTGATTTTTTTTTTAATTGCTGTTTTCAACACTCAAAAAAATGTTACCTATTTTTTATATGGATTACTTGCATTGCTTTTTCAGATAGTGGTCAGCAGACACCAAAAAGAAGTATTATTCCATGAGAGACATGTTATAGAAAGGCCTGTACTTATTAATTCTAATAAGCATGTACCTCTTTACTTTCTATACAATACTAAAGAGCTCTAAAATACCTCTTGAATCCTCCTTAACTATTTCTAAACATCAGGAAAAAAAAAAAAAAGGAAGGCATTTGCTTAAGGAATCTCTTCAGCTTGGCTAAATAGCGTGTATAGTTTTTCGGTATGAAGACTCTTCAAATGTAGCAATCAAAAGACACAGTGTTGCTGAATGTGATTAAATAACTCTTAGTTACAAATATTGTTTGGAACCAAAACAGTTCAGTGTTCTGCCCTTTCGAGTGAGACTAAAAAGTGACGAGGCAACAAAATAGACACATTGAAACACTAGGAGCAAAATGTATTCTTGAACTTATTCTGATTGTAAGATTGTTGTGTTTCTGTTCCTATCTAAACAGCTGTGGGAGTAAATGCATGAATTCCTAATACAAGTAAGCAATGTGAGCTAACAAGTACCTATTTCCTTGTTATAGATGACAAGAGCTTTTACATGTCCATCTTTTTTCTTTCCTAAGACCATTTTTTGTAAAAAAACAAGCTAAATCGTTCTTTATATTTATTTTTTAGATTTTGATATTTTTGTTTGTGATACATTATTTTTAGAGGTATCTCAGGGAGATCATGTTATGAATTTCTCTTCCTACTTACAGGTAGTAAAGTTGCATACAAAACTTGGCAAACCCATTCCTTCGACTGAACCAAATGTGGTTACCCAAGCTACTTCCTCAACATCCACATCTGCTTCCAAGCCAACGGCCTCTGCTTCAAATATAGCAACTAGCAGCAGTACAGTGAACTCCTCTGTTGCGTCTTCTGCAGTGAAAGTTCTTACTCCCACGGCAAACACACCACTTAACACTGCATCCAACAACAAAACATCTTCAACCGCTGCTAACATAGCTGTAAAGAAAATATCTACACCGAAAATAAACTTTGTTGGCAAGTACAGAAGTCAGTCTTTATTTTGAAACCTAACCTATTCTGTAAATTTTTCTTAAGAACTAGTGCAGCAGACACAAATGTATTTAGGTAACCCCATGCATGAGTTACTCCACTGTGTTTAAGGGAATTACTGATAAGTGAGAATGTCTATAAAAGTTTTGCTTCAAAATTGATGGTGTTTTCTGCCCAGTTGTCTCCACCCTCTTGAATACTTTTCCCATCTTCGTACGAAGCCTCCCACCTTTGGTTTCTTATGTAGTAGCTGCTGGAGTATTGCAGTTTTTAGTCCTAATTTCAGTTCACAGCCTGGGCTGTTAATGCACCTGCAATAGATTGGCAGTTTGTGCTGGACAACTGAAACATCCTTTTTCAGTGGAAAACTAACCATGTAAACTTTGAACTGAACACAACAGAGATGTGAAGCATCTGTTCCACAATAAGCTATCCTGCTCTTCAAGGAAAGACCTATACAGTTGCAATACTAGGGGTGTACTGCCTTTAGTAGTACAAACTTTATTAAGTTTTGGAAGTACTTTTTTTTATACATTTATAAAATAACAAAAAAGATATTGTTAAAATATATTTTCTGAGTTGTTCCCCATTCAGTCCTGTCCCTTGATAAAGCAGGAAAGCAAATAACAAAAATGGTGGTTTTTTAAAGCAGAAGTTTTTCGTGTTAGAATACACAACTTCAGTGTTTAACCTGAATGTTGTCAAATTTACTGTTAAAATATTTAATTGTATTGAAAATATATTTAAGTTTTGGTTGAATTTAAAATCTGATAGATTTTAAAATACCTATAATTCTTTGCCCAGATCATAGGTATTTGCAAATAAAATCTTCAGTTTGCACATTATGTTTAATCACATTCTCATTTTATGAAGAGTAATAATTTTTGGTTTTTTATTTCTAGGTGGTAATAAGCTTCAGACAACAGGAAGTAAAATGGAAGAAATGAAATCAGCAGAAAGTGTTAAAACACCTCCTGCTGCTACAGTGCAAACACAGGAAGTAAAACCTGACACAGCAGCTGAACCAGTGACTCCCACAACTCTTGCTGCCTTGCAAAGTGATGTCCAACCAGTGGGCCATGACTATGTGGAGGAGGTATTAATATGAAAATATGTATTATTTTTTAACTGTTATAGTGAAACATAATCATAGAGTGATTGAGGTTGGCAGGGACTTCTTTAGATCCTGTGGTTCATTCACCCTGCTTAAGAAGGACCACCTACAGCCCGTCACCCAGGACCATGTCCAGATGTTTTTTGAGAATGTCAGAGGATGGAGACTTCATAACTTCCCTGAGCAGTTGTAAGAGAGCATGGTCAGTCACAATAAAACAGTGTTCTGATGTTAGGTTATTTTTCACTTGGTGCTAATTGTCTCTGGTCCTGGCACTGGGCAGCACTGAAAAAAGTCTGGCTGTGTCCTCTTTGCACCCTTCCTCCAGGTATTTATATGCACTGATATGATCCCCCTCAGCCTCCTCTTCCCTAGTTGAGACAGCTGAGGCCCCTCTGGATGTTATTGCAACCCTTTGGCATTTCAGCCGCTTCTGTTAGTTTTGTGTCATCAGCAAACTAGCTGAGGATACATTCTCCCCCATCATCCAGAGCATTACTGAAGATGTTACAGGACTGTGTTGATCCTGGGGCTGCATTGCTGACTCCTGGCCTCCAACTGGGCTTCATTCTGCTGATCAGCACCCTTGGCTAGGCTGTTCAGACAGCTTTCAGTCCACTTCACTGTACACTTATCTAGCCTATGCTGGATATAGTGGCTTGTCTAGGAGGATATTGTGGTGAGACTCTGTCCAAGGTTTTACTGAAGTCCACAGGGACAGTCTTGAGTGCTCTGCCTTTATCTGCCAGGCCTTCACCTTGGTGAAGCCCTGGAGCTGACTGCTCCTGATGGTTTTCTTGCCCTCACTGTACTTGGAAATGGTTTCAAGGGTTAGCTGCTCCATTGCCTTCCCAGAGATCAAGATGAAGTTGACTGTGATTCCCTGGGTTCTCCCTGAAGATAAGAGTGACTGTGCATTGAGCCCGCAAAGGCTTGTGCATATGTTTACATTTTTGTGTTGTGCATATTTCTTTTTTGCTTCATGTGATTGGTATGAGATAGGTGGATCAGCTCTGATGTAAATTTTGCATGATACACAGGTCTGTGATTTATTAGCTCACTATGTTCAGGTTTGAATGTACAGCTGTGTACTCTTTGGAATGGAAGGACCTTGTTCCCTGCTCAATACCAAGCACAATAGTGTGTCTGTCAGAAATGAATGTTCTACTTTTCTACTTTGCCTTCTTTCAGTTATTGTGTGAACTTCTTAACGTATTTTGGGACAGGTAGCCATTATCTAGTGGCACTGGATAATTAGATGAATGGATAATTTAATTTTATATCAGCCTTATAAGATAAAAAAGAAATGACCAAATGTGTTATAACTTTATTTTCCAGGTAAGGAATGATGAAGGAAAGGTGATTCGCTTTCACTGTAAACTCTGTGAATGCAGTTTCAATGATCCTAATGCCAAGGAGATGCATTTGAAAGGGCGGCGGCACAGACTTCAGTACAAGGTAAGAATGCTAATGCTTCTCTCTGAAAATCAAACAGGTATCAGCTAACCTCTTCTTAGGTTTAAAGGCACTCTGAGTAAACAGCATGTAGAAAAAGATAAATGTATTTCATAGGCAGTATAGTTTTTAAAGAATAATGCAAACCGTGAAATTATATTTTGGTTGAGGCTTTTAAAAATGTTTTGAATGTTTCTTGTAGTCCAAATGATGCAAGGAAGAATAGATTCTTTATGTTGCTTACCATGAAGTTTATAGAGTATAAAGGAGTATTGCTCAGTTGTTTTGGTAGGTCACACACACTCTTTGTGTTGCAGACTTTTTAATGATAAGTGCATTTGTGCAGTTCTAAAACTGCATTTTACTCCTTTTGATTTTATTGTAGATGAGTAGTGTATGTTAAATATGTCAGAACTACTCCATAACCTTGCTTGAGGACAGGAAAGTAACATTTAATTCATTACTTTTCTCATCTAGAAAAAAGTAAACCCAGACTTACAAGTAGAAGTGAAGCCCAGTATTCGAGCAAGAAAAATTCAAGAAGAAAAGATGAGGAAACAGATGCAGAAAGAAGAATACTGGAGAAGGCGAGAAGAGGAGGAACGCTGGAGGATGGAAATGAGGTAATGCATTATGTTTCATGAATGAATGCGACAATGTGCTGTCAGATTGTCTGAAACTAAGCTCCATAGTTACTTATTTTAAATACTTTAGGGAACTGTGTACTGTTGTGTTTTAAATTGTCATTCTCTCACTGGGATTTTTGTTTGCTGCTGTTCAATCCTTCTGAGTAATGCAGAGTTAGTAGAATTACTTTGCCGTAAATGCAGGCCTACTTTTACAGCAATAATTCCTGTTGTTACTGTCTCTTCATTGGTATTTGCTTATGACTCCTACAAGTTGTTGAGGACAGAGAAGGATCTGTCCAGAGTAGTGTCAAGTATTAACTGCTGTATAGTAAGAACACTTTGATTGATGCACTTCAGACGATACGAAGAGGACATGTACTGGAGGAGAATGGAGGAAGAACAGCATCACTGGGATGACCGTCGCAGAATACCAGATGGAGGATATCCTCATGGCCCTCCAGGACCACTAGGTCTGCTGGGAGTTAGACCTGGAATGCCTCCTCAACCCCAAGGACCAGCAGTGAGTTTCTTAACTTGAGAAACAAGCTAAGCTGTTCTTACCAGGAGGCACAGTTAAGAATTATAAAATAACTCAGTGCTACTTCACTTGTCTCTGGTGTTTCCTAATAAAGGATTTGGAAAAGAGAAGAAGAAATTATATGCTAATGAAATGGTGTAGGTGTACTAGTCCTCCAAAATAAGTCCAATTAAATGACAAGAGGATGCTTTAAATATTGCTTCTTATGAAACTAAGTCGTACTGGATTTTTTTATTTTATTTGATTGTGTTATACAACATTATTTACCTAATTGTGGACTAATGTATGGATAAAAAGTGTCTGGGTCATCAGTCTTGGAGAATAATGGTTAGTGGTGCATCATACTCTGGCAGTGTGGAGTGCAGTACCACATGGGTTCATTCTGGCCTAAGCACCTTATCAGGGGTCTGAAAGGTGATGGAGTGAGTGCAGACTGCTGAGGTTTGCACTGGCATGAACCTGAATCATGTTGGGTTGGGGAGAAGAGCTGATAGCTTGGATGCCAAGGCCACCATCAAGAGGCACCTAGGTGGGCTGTAGGAGTGGAATATTATGGAATTCTGCAAGTACAAATACCTAATGCTGCCCACAGAGAGGAAGAATCCCTTGCGTTGATAGAGGCTGGGTAGCAGCTCTGCTGAAAAGGATCTGGGGGTCCTGGCAAACAACAGTCTGGGCATGTGTCAGCAGCATACCCTGGCAGCAGAGCCAGCAGCTGCCTGGGCTTTAACAGGAGCACAGTCAGTAGATTAAGGGAAGTGATCAGCTTTCATTAGACCCTAATTTCAATATTACATTTAATTTTGGGCTTTTCAGTTCTGATGCTTAAAGCATAACAGGCTCAGTGTGGAGCTACCAAGATGTTCAGGAGTCTGGAACACTTGCCCTGTGAGGAGAGACTGAGGCATCTGGAGTTGTTCAGCCTGGAGAAGAGAGAGCTTCAGTGGGACAGGATAGCCTTCTAATAGCTGTCTTTATAAAGGGCATGGAGCCTGGCTTTTTATAGTCATGAGAGTGTGAGATACATCCAGCACAAGCAAACACAAAGGAGATTTAGACTGAATTCAGGAAGTCATCTTTTCTCGTACAGGTGTTGTGCAGCTGCCATCTTTGAAGGTTTTTCAAAAACTAACAGGCTAAAGCCCTCAGCAACATGATGTGGTCTTACAGCTGACCATGTTTTGAACAGATTAGACTAGATGAGCTTTTGAGGGCGTCCTGTACAATCCTGTGATTGTACAAAAGTAATCATAGATACTTGATTTTGCAGCAATATCCAAGTGTTTTCCAGTTGATAAAAAGGCAAGGGATATTAATGTTGAGGAGTACCTCTGATCTTGGGATTTGGTCTTAGTTTATTTTTGATACGCTTCGTGTCTTTTCAGACATGATTGATTGTGACAGTGTAGGTTGTTGAGGAAACTTCATGTTTTGTTACATTTCAGAGATGTGGGGTTTGAATATTCTGTTCCTTAGCCACATGTTGGGTTTTGGTCATTTTGTTTCATTTGTGAACTTGGAAGTGCACCCAGGTTTCAGAAGAACACTTTTTTGTCTGTTCAGCCTCTGCGCCGCCCTGACTCCTCTGATGACCGCTATGTGATGACCAAGCATGCTGCTATATATCCAACTGAGGAGGAACTTCAGGCAGTCCAAAAAATTGTTTCTATTACTGAGCGTGCTTTGAAGCTGGTTTCTGACAGCATGACTGATCATGAAAAAAGCAAGAACAAAGAGGGAGATGACAAAAAGGATGGCAGTAAAGACAGGTATTTTTTTAATTCCTTTTTAAGAAATTTATTGTTTTTCCTTACCCTGTTATCAGTGCTTCCAGGACCTCATCTCTTTGGGCTTTTATGCAGTATTTTGAAGTCTCAGAAAGATGTGGAGTACTATTTTATTTTACTTTTCTATCTTCAGGATTATTATGATTTTTACATTATTATTTTAAATGCAACTTTTGACTACAATTCACAGAGCTTTGAAAGGCGTTTTACGGGTGGGCGTTTTGGCTAAAGGTTTGCTGCTCCGTGGAGACCGAAATGTCAATCTTGTTTTGTTGTGTGCTGAGAAGCCCTCCAAGACATTACTCAGTCGTATTGCTGAAAGCCTCCCTAAGCAACTTGCAGTAAGTAGAATTTAGATTTTCAGATTTGAGTTTTTGTAAAAGTAATGTGAAAATCTGTCCTCAAGTTAAATGTCTGCAGGACTCACTGTGCTGCTACACAACATAGCTCAGGTTCAGTTTCTTTCCATTTTCTGTGTGTTTTCATCTGAATTCAGAGACTGCTGCATGTTCTGCTTCCTCCATATCATGTCCATACAAGCATGTGCTCTAGCAGTGTAGTATCAATCACTATTTAACAGATTTCTTTTATTTGGGAAATAGAAATGAGCACAAGAAAGGCCATTAATCAGTTACCAGTAGCAATAGAGGTAATTGCGGTATGTTGCATGTTACAGCATGCCTCCTGCCTCAAGGTCAAAGTTCTCCATTAATGCCAGTCTTTTGTACTTACATCTTGTTTCCTTATTGTATGTATCAGTGGTTTATAGTTCAAAATTAGCCAGCTAAATCTAGTCTGGGTTTTTTTAGAATTTGAACCTTTAAAAAAGTAAACATACAATCTTAGACCATTTAGTGAGATATAAACCTTTGGTAGTGTTTGTATCTTAAGAAAGTGTAAAGTCTCTGCTCTGTGCTGAACAAAGCCTGTCACTGTAGAGTGCTTGTCACAGCATTAGTATTTCAATGCAGTTTAGTAAAATGCTTGACAGAATCACTGGCATGAGCAGATTAATGAAAAAATAGTCTCAAGTTTGCTCTTGTTTGAAGTAACAGAAGTAAATTTAATAAATGGGTATTCTGGTCTTTCTTCATGGAAATGTTCACCATATATGTAGAAGAAGGTCACAGAGGTGTCTACAGCTTTCTTTTGGAGCTATTTGGAATTATTGAATAACATTGCAAAAAGCAACTTAAAATAAACACTTTATTAGTTAATCTTACATTTTTTCCCTGGTGCTTATCTTGCCCTTTTTAGCATGTTGTGGCACCAAAGCACAGGATGTACCTAGCAATACCCATATGTAACTGTGAGCTTAAAAAATATGCATCTTTGTATTTCAAAGACTTCTGTGTTCCAGTGAGAAACACCCTACTGACATTTTAATTGGCTCTGAGGCTTTTCTTTATTTTAAACACCATGAAGATTCTTGTTATGTAATTTATAGAATTTTCCTTTCTGGGCAGTTTTTTTTTTAATTCTAACTGTTTGATTGTGTATTTTCCTTAATAATTTGGACACAATATAAAAGTCCACGTATCTTTATACAGTGTAGTGTGGTTCTGTGACTACACAGGTATGTGTTTCATATAATTATATTGCGTTTCTATCTTTCTGTTGAAAAAAGAATATGTTGGAATCCTTTTTCTTCCTGATACCTTTAATGGCCACATGCTAATAGAAATTTCTGTTTCTCAATATTTAGGTAATAAGTCCAGAGAAATACGATATCAAGTGTGCAGTCCCAGAAGCAGCAATAATTTTAAATTCGTGTGTGGAACCCAAAATGCAAGTTACAATCACACTGACATCTCCAGTCATTCGGGAAGAGAACATGAGGGATGGAGGTTGGGAAGTTGTTAAAGATGTTACTTATTTCTCACCTGGTTTTTTTATGTTTATCTATTCTGCTTAAGATGGCACTAAGGTCCTGGAAGGCAACATGCTGGCACACATATTTGATCAAAACTTTGTTTTTCAACAACCAGTCTCAGTAGAAAACAGTTGGTTAAAATAAATGTGTATATGATGCTTTTATTTAATTTTTAAAATTTCTAACTTTATGTCCAACCTCAGCTTTCTGGAAAAGGTACAAGCTTGATTTTTTTTTCCCCCTTTTAAAATTATGTGGAAAACTAAGTATTTTATAGCAAGTGGCTATAAACTGGCTTTCTAGAGCAGTCTTGCCTTAAGAGAAAGATTATATGAATTTAGAAAATCAAATCACAGGTTTTTGGGTTTGAACTGGGTCAGTATTACCATCACTTAGACATTCTGAATAGTGCCACTTAAAATGCACTTTTACCGTACTTTTGACAGTAACAGTGCTTCTAACTTTAAAAGATGATGCGATTTTTTCCAGCTCTCTGAGGTTGTTTTTTGGTCTGGAGTGCTTTTTGAGTACACTTAGGCTCCTGGTATTACAATCACTCTTCTATCCAACTGGCAAACCCAACTAGTACAATAAGAAATGGCTTTGTCGTTGAGCTGAAGCAGAAAGTGGAGCTTGGGAATCAATTTACGTTTGTGAAGTCCACAGTTTCACTGGTGCCAGCAGTGTTGCTTTAGGGTCTGTTCTGTAACACTTTCAAAGCTCCAAAAGCTTTTAAGCCAACAAGCATGATTAATGTCTGCAGTACATTGGTTCTTTTTATTTATGGGTCAGATAAAATTAACTTTTGTTTCCTTTTAATCCTGTATTTTCGTAGTTGAAAGAGATCATAGCAAACAGGGTTCTGGTGTTTGACAGTGAACCTACAAATAGGAAATCTGAGGCTGTTTTAACACTTCTCATATACAGGTTGAAAGAAATTTTATGTGTGTATGTATACATGTGCTTGTGTATATACGTATTTATATAAGCCACTAAGGTTTTTTTTATACTTCATCTCATCACTACATGTCCTCTAAAACACTTGAGGTTTTTATATTGCATTACTAAGTGTCCTGTAGTTGTGACTAGTGCATTTATAAACAAGTTATGTTAACAAAGTCATCCTACATAATCAGAAAGAAAAACTTTCAACATGCATTCTGTGGTTTGGATGACTTCCAAAGAGTCTTAGAGTGCTTTTGTTTTAAGCTGTGCATTTTATTCCTAGCTATAAAGGCTTTGTATGTGTACTGTCACACCCAACCACTTTTACTTGGTTTTGGACAATCTGAGTGTAACATAACTCTGGGCTGAATCCAACTTTCCATATTATTTAAGTTTATTAAAAAGTGCATTTTATTATTAAATTAGTCTAACCATTTAATGAAATTAACCTTAAACACCATGTTTATTTCTTGATGTACTGTGCAAAAGTGCAGTATTGATTCCTGCTACTGTACTCAATTTCAACTAAGTGGTTTCTGGCCCAAAATTCTATGATGTGGACTAAAAGTAAAACAAATTTCAAATTACTACCATCAGTCCCCTAAGTTATTCCACCAAAAGGAAACAAATCTGTATTTTTGTCTGACCCACACTTGAGTTAAATTATCTTTGTGAGTTTATTCACTGCTGAATGCAGTACTGCCTCTAGGCAAACAAAATCAAGTTAGATTTCTCTTCAAGACACTGAGCAGTATAAAATGGATGTGCAGAAAAGTTCACTTTTGAAACTGGAGCAAATAGAAGACTGAATTGCCAATTATTGCAGCAAAGAAGTTCCATATTCCGAAGACTGCTGCTTATTTGCTGCAGAGTAACAGTATGTGTTTGTGTTTTTCTTACTGCAGCTTCTCATGCTCTGTGTCTTACTTTGGTTTGAAGTTTTCATTTTCCTTAGCCCGCTTGGGGAGCTAGTTCAGGTATTAAGGAAGGCTTTACCGGAAGAACCAGTTGGAGTAAAGATGCAACTTGAGTCTTGCACGTGGAGTAGAATATCATGTTTGATGTGTTACTAAGTAAAAGGCTCAAAAAAAAACCCCAAACAGTGAAATGAAATTGTTAACCGCATAGCTACTGTTCCTCACAGTATTGTGCGTTTGACAGTTGACCGAATCTGATACGTTTGGAGAGCTCTAACCCAGCTGTGGAGTCTTCCTTCGCAAACAAAGTGTACATACTTACAAACACCTCTGTGTGTGCGCGTGTGTCTTTTTTATCCTTAGCTGACAGCCCCGGTCCAAAGCCTTCTAGCAGAGGGACTTGATTCCTGTCAGGGGTTGCTGCCAAGACATCGGAAGGATTTTTGACCAAGGTTTTCTAAAGCTCAGTGTCACACCTGCCATGCTTTACAAAGGAGGGGTTTGGATGCATAGTCCTAGCATCTGCTGTTACTTTGTGTTTGGTTTTTGTTGTTTTTTTGTTTTTTTCTTTTCGTCTTTGTCTCTCTCCTAGAATGAAGCAGTGTTCACACTAGTCTTGTAATAGTTGACTGGATAAAATGCATTTTACATAATAAAACTTACCTAAATTGACATACCTGTTAACTTTTAATGAAGAGGTAGTGTGGACACAGCACGTCTAATTAAAGATTAACCCCTTATGTTTAGGCTAGTAGTAACTTATACAGGGTAAGAATTCATGCCCGTGTTTTGTAAATTAATTCAGTTTTTGTCCTAGTTTAGTAGGGTGGCAGGTTAGGCATCTGATTTTAGTTACACTGTCTTTAAGGGGTTAATCCAGAAGTGTGAAACATATGCAAAAATCCACAGAATAAATATTACAGGAGTTCCCTTGATACATTTTTTCAGTCGTTGTTTTCTCAGTATAGTACCTGCTTCATCAACTTCTGACTTTCAGAGTCTTTTTAAGTTCCAGGGATATTCTTATGACAGCTATTAGTAACCCATTTTAGATTAACATTTCCAGCACTGAGTAAGATTCTTTCCTGTACATTCAAATTGCAATTCTTCTCCGTAAAACTATTTTACAAGTTGAAGGTTTTCAGAGGTAGAAATTTCAAATTATTAATGAATTATTGTGCTAAAAGTTTGCACAGTGTCACCTATTTGCATATTAGTTTTAGAAAACTGTAAATAATTGATTAGACTGATTAGACTATTGGCCTCACAGCAGATATTTGCATTTTTATTTTCTCAGCCTTATTTTGCCACTTTTTCCTGTGGTGTTTTTTTAGGCTATACTCCTTGTCTCATATATCTGGGTTGTACTCCTTTCGTCACATAGCTTTAGCTGGCACCCCTCCTGTGTAGGTTTGGAGGGCATTTTTTGTTGTTTTTTGTTTGGTTTGGGTTTTTTGGTTTTTAATCAGTTTTGTTTTAAAAGAAACATCACTTTAAGCATCATAATTTGCTCTGTAATTGCATTGTTAGTGAAGATTTTAATTTTTCCACTTTAATATATAGTCTGTAAGGTGGAATATCTGTGTGAGAAGTTACCTGTGTTCTTCTCAACTTTCCTCTTATGAAGTCTTCACGTTTTTATCCCTGTGCAAAGCAATGGGACTATCCTATCAAAATGCTCAAATCTGAATACAGTACTTCACATTAAATTTAGTTACTATACTGCAGAGCTATACTACCGTGTTAATTCATGGCCTTTTAGCTCCATATACTAAAGAATCCTACTATTTTACGTTTGTGTTTTCAGAGCACAATTTCTGCAACATATCTAAAAGCTTCTTGTTGCAGGCATGTTTCATGAGCCTCATTATTTTTTATTTTATTTTATTCCCTGGCTTAACCTAAGTTTAGATTTTGAAGGAGTAAACTGTACTGTTCCAAAGAGCTACCTCCTGTGACATGTGTGCCATTGAGTGAGGGCTTTTTGTTTCATCTTATGTGGTGTATCACCAGTTACACTGGCAATATCTGTTGTGACTAGTCACCGTAGCCGTTTTCAGAATGAGTAAACAAGTAACTTCTAATGGTGATCACTGATCTGATTATATCTGTATAGTTTTCAAGTAACTCAAGGACACCATTTCACACTGTTTAGTGGTTCCACTTTCACTGATTAAACCACTTCTCTGGTCTCTTCCTCTGGTAGCAAAGCAGTCAGCTTGGTAATTAAATTATTTCCTGGATATTTAAATAGGCAATGTCTGCTATGTTTTCTCCATCTTTCAGATATTTTGCTTTGTTTTTGAGACTATTCCTTGCTTTCTTTATCTTGGTGAGTCTTTGGTAAAGCAGTACCTTTTCAGATCCTTCCTTGCATCCTAAGTGTTGCTGGAATATATCTGTTATGGGATGAGGAATTTTATTTTTATGGGAAGGAGAGAAAGTGCTAGCAAACAAGGAACTCTGTAATATTGAAGATCATGTCACATTTATTTAGTCAGGTTTTTTAAGTAAAATAATTTTAAGGCATTATAAAAATAACATCATTACTAAATATTCAATGCTTTTAAGATTTGTTATGCTTAGTTTATTTTTTCAAGAATAGGTCCCAAATAACACCTGACAATTAAAATTTAAAAGAAACTAAGTTTGAGTGTTTCTACTTGGTTAAAGTGGATTTTTGTGTTCCTTCTGTCTTGTGTTCTCTGTGCTGGTGCACTGTGTCCAACCATCCTTCCTTCGGTATTTTATTTTAGGGGATATGTGTTTTTCCACTGTTAGCTGAAATAAAGAAGTACTATGCATTGCATAATCAGCAATGCAGTTGAAAATAACTTCAGAGCTGAAGCATTATGCTCTTGATCATTCTACTGGGTCAATGCCCTAATCCTAATTGAGCCACTACTGCTGAACATTTACATTTCTTATTCAAGGGTTTAAACTTTAAATGGCATGTGTGACATTGAAGCTATTTAAGGAAGTGTCTTGCTCACCTGGTCAAACACCCATTCCTCACTGCATTTTGCCAATTCAATCCATTTTAGATGTAACCTCGGGTATGGTGAAAGACCCACCGGACGTCTTGGACAGGCAAAAATGCCTTGACGCTCTGGCTGCTCTACGCCACGCTAAGTGGTTCCAGGTTCGGAACATCATTTTACTTTCTTCTTGTAGCCTTATGAGAGATTAGTTCAGTTGCAATATGAATGTTTAACTGTGTGAAAACACTCAGCGTTGTTCATGCTAATAATACTTAATATTTCTCTGGTCCCTAAATTTAACTGTAGAAGGTTGAGTATGGAGGAGCTGCTTTATGCAGTTATTGCTCATTTGACATAATTTTTTTTTCCAGTCATTGAGAAGGCGATGTGGAAAGCTTGACTCGCTTGGGGTGATCATATGTTGTATATTTGTTATATATTCCATAAGGCTGCAGAGTAACTTCGCTTTAAATAATGGAATATGTGTTTAAAGCTTTGTGTTTAGATTTAAGACTTTTTTTCTATTTCTTTTAGTGCATTAAGTGTAGGGAATGAAAGGTGAGAAGCAACTGTTTGGTTTAGTGACTTTGCATTCTGGCAAAGGCACAATAAAGAAACCAAACAGATTCCCTTGACCTTTCAGTCTCTATACCTATTTCTTAGATCTTTACTTTATCCTTTTTATTTCTAATATAGAAAGATACTGTATTTATTGTTTCAAATGAACATGGGTCAAAGTGTATAGGGGATCAAGAAATGTTATTCTTGTATAACCTGTGCACTTTGACTTCTACCACCTTAAATTACTAACCCTGTATAAAATACTGCTGTAAATGGCAGCTCACGGAATAAAGTTGTAGAATGATTTGTTTCAATCTTGTATCTGAGCTTCCATTGAACAGTGGTGTTTTAGTCTTTCAACAAGTCCTGTTTGCTCTGGGTGCAAGGGTTTTAATTAATTTGATTTTGTATTGCTCTCAAGGCTAGAGCTAATGGTCTGCAATCCTGTGTGATTATCATACGTATTCTTCGTGACCTCTGTCAGCGGGTTCCTACTTGGTCTGATTTTCCAAGCTGGGTAAGTAATGTTTTTTAAATGAGTCTTCTTAATAAATATGTTACTACAAGGAAATTATGGGGAAGTGTTAATACAGTGTTTAAATTCAGACTTTTTCAACACATAATGTAGGGTTTTGTTTGGGATTTTGGGGGGGTTTTGCTAACAAATACTCCAGATTCCCTCTTAAAATACAGTTTTCTGAGGTTTTTCATTTGAAGCTGGAAGTTACTGGGTTTTTCCAAAAGAAATTTTCTTGTTCTTTTCTATTATTTGTGAGTAGATTCCTATTCTAGGTTTTAGCATATTTTTCCTTTACTTTATATAAAAGAACATATTTTTTTCTAACCACCTACTCTGAATTGCTTGTAGTTTGCTGAAGCTTATTTTAAATAATGTCAGCTGTGCCCATATAGTTCTGTGCTAACAGAAAGAACTCAAAAGAAAAAAATCATGGTCATTCTTAGGTTGATTATGTCTCTTTCTCAAGGGGAAATACCACAGTGCTTCAGTACAGCCTGTGGTTGTGTCATCATCATATTTTAGTCAGTGTCACTTAAATCTCTGGGTTGTATCAGGTCACCTTTCTTAATTCAGTTGAGTGTTCTTGGAGCATTCCTTTTGCATTGACTACCTTACAAATGCTCCAAGTACTAACAGATGTACAATCTGTGGATTGGACAAAGTTAGTCTGAAACAAATAGCTGCAACATGCATCATGTGGAAGTAAACCTAGTTCTGACTGTTGTGTTTTGCAGACCAAATCCATTTGCACTATGCTGCTTCCTTCTCAGTTTTGACAGGAAGAGCAAGCACTACCACTGTTTTGAGCAGTTGACTTTATTTAGATGAGAAATACTTTACAACTCCACTAAGTTTGCAGACAGTTTTATTAAATTACTTACAATAATATTTATTGCTTCTGGAAAAAGAGTGGAAAAGTAATGTCTGTTTTTTTAAATATTTAAATGGAAAAAATTAGTGCCAGTTTCAGTACTGCACTTCATGAAAAGTACACTAAACAAATACAGTTTAAAAGATGTTAAGTGCTCTCTTAATATCACTGTGATACTGAGTTGCCAGAGAATGAACCTTGGGCATACTTTCAAAAAAGTATCCTTACAATTGTTGCAACACAGAGCAGGGATATGGATGAAGAACAAGGAATGTGCTTCTTAATTTTCACACTATGTGTTCCAAGGCACATCCAGAGGGAAGAGAGATATGAAGCAATGTGTCAAACCTCGCTGTGTCTCAGTTCTCTCCAAAAGTGATTCCTGATTTGTTCCTGGTGCCTGATGCATTCTCAGTGACATGGATCAGTACTGGGCTGTAATCAGCTGTTCTTTTGGCCTGTAGAAAAAATCTTACTGATAAAAACAATGACAAAATGAAAGTGGTGATTTCAGCTGATGTGGATGGAATTTCATAGATTGGAGTAACAGAGTTTTCTGAATACAGATTTTTTCTTACTCTCTATACTAGAAACCTTTTACAAATGAAAGAGATGACAGAGTTTTTTTTAAAAAAACCATAAGTAGTTGTAAAAATAGAAGTCAATAGGAAGCCTGAATGGCCACAGTAGTAGCATTTCATGTACCAAAAAGTAGAAACTAAATTAGAAGAATTTTGTCAGGTTCCTACAAATTATTCAGATTTGAAACCCAGCCTTTTGTGCACATAAGCACCAGGACATCATAACTCACGTTTTCCTAGTACTGAGTTATAGACCTCAGTGTATTGTATGAGGATCCAAAAGAACTAGATTTTAATATATGCAAATTCAAGATCTGCTTTTTTTTCTTTACTGATGCACTTTGTTTCCTACTTAAAAACATCTTAATTACTGTTGCCAAATCCTGACTGCTATAGCAGGAGTATGGAAATAACATGCTCAAAAACTGAAATCTGTCAGTTAAATGGAGCTACAATAGAAAGGAATGGGCAGCTTTAGTGATTAGCACTGCCTGTAGTTATTTGCATACATCAGAATAAATATTTACACCTTGAAAGGAAAAATAAAAGGTAGCATTTGAACAACTGTAGATGTGGTGAGGAGGACAAGGTCCAAACAAAAAGTGCCTCCAAAAAACCTACCAAAAGCTATTGTTTGAGAATTAAACTTGTCAAAGAGGCAGTGAAATATCTATCTAATTCTTAGAAAGAGATCTAGAAAGTTAGTTGTTTCTTTTACAAATACTTTTGTAGGTTCTTCTAGGAAAAAATAGTGTCTAATAAAAGCTAACAAAAGGAAATATTCGCAGAAAAAAACATCAGTTCTTAAAACACAGCTAATGATTTAAACCATTTTAACTAACATCAATATGTTAGTTATGTATACATTCTGAAAATGAAATGTATACAATCAGAAAATATATTTATCATAGAGGGTTTTTTTGTACTTGTTTAACATCTGAGTTGATACTGCTTCCTAACTAGAAGAAAAATTGCTGTGAGCTTCAGTTTTGCTAAACTGAAGGACTAGTGAGGGTATTAAGCATTTTAAGGACATTACATTTTTGATAACTTTCTGTACTCTTGTTATATTTTTCTAAAGCGTCCTATTTCATTAAGTATACCCTGTACTGTATTCACGTGGCTGACAGAATCAAGTGTCCCAGAGTGTTCCATACTCTCAAAAATGGTTGGACAAGTTGTCTACCTGTACATGTAGGCTACTACTATGTAAATTTCTACATAATTACTGAAACACTTGTGATGAGAAGAAGCCCATCATAGAATCACTGAATTGGTCAAGTTGGAAAAGACCTTGAAGATTATCAAGTCCTATTGTTAACCCAGCACCACTAAACCATGTCCTTAATTGCCATATCCACATGTTTTGTGAGCACTTCCAGGGACAGTAACTCTGTCAACTCCCTGGGCACCCTGTTCCAATGCTTTAGAACCCTTTCAGTCAAAATTTTTTTTCATAATATCCAATCTAAACCTTACCTGGTGCAACTTGAGGCCATTTCCTGTTGTCCTATCATCATTTATGTGGGAAAAGAGACCACCCCCCACCTGGCTGCACCCTCCTTTTAGGTGGTTATGCACAGCAATAAGGCTACCCTGAGCCTCTTTTTCTCCAGGATAAACACCACCAGCTCCCTCTGCAGTTCCTAACAGAACTTTGTGCTCCAGATCTTTCCCCAGCTCTATTCCCTTCTCTGGACACATTCCAGCACCTCGTCTTTCTTGTGAGGAGCCAAAAACTGACCCCAGGATTTGAGCTGTGTCCTCACCAGTGCCCAGCACAGGGGGGCAGTCCTTGCCCTGGTCCTGCTGGCCACACCACTGCTGATACATTCAGGATGTCCTTGGCCTTCTTGGCCACCTGGGCACACCCTGGCTCATGTTCAGCCACTGCTGAGCAGCACCCCCAGCTCCTTTCCCACTGGGCAGTTTTCCAGCCACGCTGTCCCAGCCTGGGGCACTGCCTGGGGCTGTTGTGACCCAAGGGCAGGACCCAGCACTTGGCCTGGCTGAACCTCACACAACTGGCCCTGGCCCATGGATCCAGCCTGTGCAGATCCCTCTGCAGAGCCCCTGCCCTCCAGCAGGTCAGCACTCACACCCAGCTTGGTGCCATCTGCAAACTGGCTGAGGGTGCTCTCAATTCCCTTGTCCAGATCATGAATAAGCAGGACTGAGCTCAGCACTGAGTGCTGGGGACACCACCAGCGACCAGCTGCCAGTATCAGTACTCATTGTTCATCCAGCACCACCTTTCTTTTTATTCATCTTTATAAAATAACTGGGGTTTCTCGCATTTTAACTTAAAGCGTTCTATGATATGCAATGTTCTTCAAAATTCAAGATTCAAAATTCTCTACTGAGGAATAGTAACAGCTTTATTCTGTCTCTGTCCATCTTCCAATTTGGCTAAATCCTCCTGTTATTGGTCTAGGCTATGGAGCTGCTTGTGGAAAAAGCAATTAGCAGCGCAACTGGACCACAGAGTCCTGGAGATGCACTGAGAAGAGTTTTTGAGTGTATATCTTCAGGAATCATCCTTAAAGGCAAGTTATCTTTTATGTATTTACTAATCCATAATCTTGCTTGTAGTAAGGTAAAGATGTGTTACTAATTAGCCTGATTATTGTAGGTGGTCCTGGCCTTCTGGACCCTTGTGAAAAAGATCCTTTTGATACACTTGCTGTAATGACAGATCAGCAACGAGAGGATATTACTTCAAGTGCACAGGTAAGGGAATGTAATTGTGAAGTAACTAAATTTGAAGGATGGTTTTGTTTTGGTTCTTTTTTTTTTTTTTTTTTTTTTTTTTTTTTTTTTTTTTTTTTTTTTTTTTTGTTTTTTTGTTTTGTTTTTTTTTAATGTAGCTTTATATTGGACATGAATTGTTTTGGTTTTTTTTTTGCAGAATGTAGTCAGGTCTTACCAGCCTTAAACTAGGCATTGAACGTGTCACAGGAGAGGATGTTCGTAGTGTTCATTATTGCACTAAAATAAACGTACTTTCCTGAACAATTTCTAGCATTTTCATCTATATATCTAGGTCTAGATCTGTAAACAGGCTTACTCTACAGCAGTATGTTACTAGATTGGAAATTTTATAAATACATCTGTGTAAGATTTATATAATAGTTGTGACCATTCATGCTTGCAGTTTAAGAGGTTACTGCGTCTGTCTCTTCATTTGATCCTTTTGCTACTGATTCCTGACCATGTGTCACCCAATGTGACATGTGACAAGCCTTGGCTGCTTCACTGGAAGCCCAGAAGCCCAAACACATGTGCATTAAGCTAAGACACTACACTTAGAGAAGCAGCACAAGTGACATACACATTTTATTGTGTTGATTTTGTTTGGGGACAGAAAGATGGAATAATTAGAGCTAAGGGTAATATCACACATCACTGGTGTTCTTCCTTAATTGTTTGACAAAGTGCTCAAAATGGACATTTGTTTGTAACACAAGTAATTTTCTTTACCATTTTTCTAGTTTGCGTTGAGACTCCTTGCGTTCCGGCAGATACACAAAGTTCTAGGAATGGATCCATTACCACAGATGAATCAACGCTTCAACATCCATAATAATCGTAAAAGGAGAAGGGACAGTGATGGGGTTGATGGGTTTGAAGCAGAGGGAAAGAAGGACAAAAAAGATTATGATAACTTTTAAAAATGTTTGTCATCATTGCTAATATTGATGGTAATGAAAAGTCCATTTGTTGCCTTGCTTTTACTTCATTCATAATGATGTCTGTTTAAAACATCCAAAACCAGCTTCTGAATTAGACTTGGAAGAGAACAACCTAGCTCTTCTGTGAGATTCTGAGTATTTTAATTGGATGTACTGTACCGGACAAATTATGGATGGAAAGACTGCAAATGGAAACTTGTCATAGGAAAACACAGTTTTCCCTCTTTGTGTTTTCTTTAAATGTGTTGCTAAGTTTAGTATCTTTTCTTCTTTTTTTTTTGTCTTTTTTATTAACAAGTGCATTGTCTTCCTATCTTGACTGTATTTAACGCAGCATTTGTGCTTCTGTTGCTATGTGTATTTTGACTTTTTGTTTAGAAGTATTTTTGTTTGCCTTTGACACTAGTTTATGAGTTACTTTGTGTTAGGTAGTAAAACAGTTCCCCTCCCAATTAATATTTTACAGAAGGGGTTTTTTTTCCTTTTTTTGTAAAGTGAGACTGCAGGATCATGTTTTTTTCTAAATGTGAAGGGGTTACAACACAATTGTCCTGCCATTTGAGTGCTCAGAATTAAATGTTTTTGCCAATCTTGTGGCATTTGTCTCCTTAGTGTGATATAACGGTGTAATTAAGACAAATTTGTGTTAATCTAATCGAGTTTGCTGTTAGTTGTGCATTAGCAGTATAAAAGCTAATATATACAGTATGGTCTTGCAACAGTTTTAAAGCCGCTGCATAATTGATCAAAGATTTGCATGATGGGTTTTGTTTTTCTTTTTTTAATAGAAGGGCTTTAAAAACTATTATCTTAGGTTAAATGCATAGGTCTTTGTATGATTGACTTCGTGACATAGCAAGGCCAAAAAATAACTTTCTGAATTTCTTTTCTCAACAAGCAAAGGTGGGCATTTTCCATTTAGACAAAGTTAGTCATTCTTTTCAGTCAACTTTGTCGGTATGGTATTAATGCCTCTCAGCCCTTAAAATAAATGTTTGTCATATCAGTGCCTGTGAGGTTATTCCTTATATCTGTTCCTGTATAAACTTTGTGATTTTTTTCAATAATTCAAATTTTAAAAGTGAAGTATTACTTAAAAAGTGAAGGTTATCAAAGAAAAAAACCCAGAAAATTATTTGCTGTGGCCATAGTGTATGCTTATGTCTCTTTCAAAAATCTAAATATAGCAGTGGTGTAAGTAAAGTTACATCATACTGTTGATGTATGCTCTGGTACACAGGTGTGATTTGTTGTCACAGCACTACAGTGGAATACACAAATAAAAGTTAAAATTTATTAAGCGACTAAATTTCATTACACACTGGAAACTGAATTTTCACTTACTCTGTTAAATGTGTATTATGCTTTGTTGCAAACCCATAAAACACAGATTAACATAGACTAACATTCCGATAGCTACTTTATTGATGGCTGTAGAAGAGTATCACATGTGACAAAGATAATTTGTTATTTCTGATACCATTTATTAAGAAAAGCCCAACTTCTGTTCCATTTCAAGGTCGAATTTATCTTTGACCTTTTTAATAAGCAACTATTGGAGCAGGGGGCATGTTTCTGTTCCCAGCATCTACTGCTAACCAGTGTGGGCCTATGGAATAAAAATACAATATTTTAGAAAAACTGAGGGAATCTAAAGACTTAAAAAAGAAAAACACTTAATAATAGTGTTCTGCAAGCATCAGAGTGCAATTTTCAAGGGAGTGATTATAAGGGGTTAGCATATAAAAGTAAAGCTTTCTCATTGTAGGAAAGCTTTCTAAATAATTAGAAATACAAAAAGCAGAAATGCTTTGAAGTTACTTAAAAAATTACACTCATTTTGTTGTCCAGCCTTCATGCATAGCTCCAAGCATATGCTTGTTCTAGGGGATATCTTGCTGCCATTGTGTCTAGTTAGCCATTACTATTTATTTTGAAAGCTACAGGTGCTATTCATGTGGCTAGTTCAACTCCATACCAAAGTTTCTTTCCTCATAAGGCAAACTTGTCTATTCAGGAATGTGACCCTAAAAGGATTAAAAAGGTCAAAGATGTATTTTAGATTTTCTGTATTTTTGTTCTACTGGCTTTTAGCTCCTAACCAGTTTCTGGATCTTTTGAAATATTGTATACTTAAAGTGATTCCACATTAAATATGAAGCTGTGACCATGATTTTTGTGCTGTGTGGTGAAAGGTGAATTTGCGGTTTATTTCTGGTGTTCTTGCCCATTTTAATGGATAACTTCTGACTCTTGTTAACAAATCTAAGAATGTAAAGACAAGATTTTCAAAAGTACAGAGCTAGCTTTGACTTAAAGAGTACACTGTGCACTTGGGAAGGCAAAACTGACTAAGTGAGCATTTTAATACCCTCTGTTTTGGTAATGCTGGCAGTTTACTAATAAGCATTGTTCACATTTTTTATTCAGAAGTGCTTTGTGTTAAATCCCACAGTTACAAACACTGTAGTCTTCATTCACAAAAGGGAGATGTACACAGAAAGGATATTCCCCCCCAGGCTCACCGCAGAGGAGCAGTTTGTGAACATGTGAACTGTTCTGTTTCAAAGCTTTTTTCAATTTTGACGTGGCTTCCTAGTTCATAATTGTGTCCTGTCTGTGGGCAGAGTGGTTTCACATGGATCTGTGCATAAAGGCACTGTTAGAAGATAAAGTCTGTTAGACGCAGTCCATCGACTTCTTGCCCTTTTATGAAATTCTAGATGAACAGTTAAACCTGCAGAACTATTGAATATGATGGGTTCATTTGCAGCTTCTATTTTTAGACTTTTTAGTACTTAAAATTTTTCTGCCTAGAAAACTTCCAACAGTTGGAATCAGCTTTAAATATTCCTGCAAAAATGTGCATGAATATTTAACATTCTTTTTGCTGGTTGAATACCTGCTGATCATTAGTCTGTTAAATATCACACAATGCCAAATTAGTTTCTTTATTAAGCAATTAAGACTTGTTTGGAATAACCAAACAGATTTGAATAGCATAGCATTAATAATGGTGGACAATAGACAAAGTTAGCAATGGTTTCTTCTATTTATATTTCAGTTTTACAAAGCAGAGTGATAGAGTCAACAAAATCATCTGTTTTTCTTCATTTTTTTTAATGACAGCTGTAAACCAAAGAGCCTTTTAGCCAAAAAGGCTAGCAAATTAAATTACTCTTGAGAGATTCTTCTATTGATCTCAGAAGATCTTTTTGTCCTTCAGTATGGTATTTCTCAGACTTTCAAAATGAAAGAGATAGCTGGTATTTTTGGAAAAGAAAAAAAAAATCCAAGGAGTGTTCTCTATAGACTTACCACAGCAGTTTTGAATTATATCCAAATGAAAATCAGACTTCATTCCATAAATATCTATTAATCTGTATTCTTACACTTTGTTCCACTTTTTTGGCTTGCATTATGAAAGTCTGAGAGAAGCTTGCTGTTTTTTATTGAACTTTCTGATTGTTTACAGTTTGCATTTTACGAAACACTCCCCTAATAATACTCAACAAATGTCCAGTTGCCAGCAAGGGCAAAAGTCACTGTTTGTCAAGGACTGGCAGCTCTTGCTGGGGATGTTGACCCTGCGCAGTGCACACCATCCCACATGTCATGGTCCTTACATACCTGCGTTAGTAAGGGTCATAGTTTAGAAAGATCTTTAACACTGGTGTTTTCTTAGACTTTTGCAAAACCATGGCCACCAGTATTTATTGCAGGGTAGTTTAAAGCATACCAGCTTGCAGAGGCTCAGCCACTAGGTTAAATAATATATATTCTGCATCAGTCCTGTTTGAGCTGATGCCTTGAATCACAATAAACATAGGATGGCATCAAGAAACCTTTGTGGATTTTGTAAATTTTCTGTCATTAAAAATCTAAGACCAGAGAGTTTGACCAAAACAAATGGTTTTTTCTACAGTAAAAAGGTTACTGTAACATTAAAAGTGAGACAAAAGGCCTCTTGTTTCAACACAAGAATCACAAACCTTTATATAACCTCTTTTGTTTCCTTTTCTGCATGCTGTATTGTGTTTGTATCAGTAAGATGCCTATATAATCAGACTATGTAAGACAACCTTATCACAGACTTGTGGCACACATTTAAGTTTGACAGTAATTTTCTGGTTATACAACTTAATGAACACTCTGGGAGAGATGAAGGTGCCTGAATACAGGAGTTTACTGTCATGTTTTACACACTCCTTGGCTATGTGCTGCTCCAAAAGGGGATGGCTTTCATCGGAGGTGCTGGCCCACAGCTGCCAGTCCTACATGGATACCTCAGCATGGCTTAGGATGTTAAGAATGCCACTGCTTAGGTAACTACTTCATATTTTCACACGTGAGAGAAAAGCATGGTACATTTAAGAACTGGAGCCAATGATCCAGGATGTTGCCAGTATAGTCATATGGAATTGCAGCTTCAGGAAAGTGGGATAATCATGGTGGTATCAGCAGCAGAGGGTGCTTGTCACAAGAAAAGTGTCTGTGATAATGAAATGCCATCCCACTTTCTACTAATAACTCCAATATTTTATTTCTAAGTGGAAAGGGAATAAAATACAAGAGAACAGACTTTTCTGTATTGACAGGAAGGGACCTGCAGTCATTGTCAGTCACTTGCCTGCCCGCTCAGGGCTGGCCGCGTTGTTAAGGGCACTGTCCAGATGCTGTTGAGCACTGACAGACTGGGGGCTCCTCCACTTCTCTAGGAAGCTGCTCCAGTGCTTGACCACCCTCTCTTTATAGAATTGCCTCCTAATGGGCAGGAAAGCTCTCCTGGTGCAGCTGTGAGCTGCTCCCTCATGTCCTGTCCCTGGATTTCAGGGAGGAGAGCTCAGTACCTCCCCGTGTCCTTCCCTTCTTCAGGAAGCTGCAGAGAGCAGTGGGGTCACCCTTCAGCCTCCCTTTCCCCGAAGTGGACAAGCCCAAATTCCTCAGCTGCTCCTCACAGGGAGTTCCTTCCAGCCCTCCCACCAGCTTTGTTTTCCTCGTCAGAGCACCTTCAAGGACCTTTCCACCCCTCTCCAGCGGCAGGTCCCAGCAGGCCCCAGGTGAGGCGGCCCCGAGGCTGAGCCCAGCGGGACCATCCCCTCCCTGGGCCGGCTGTGCCGGGCTCAGGGCTCTGTCCAGCCACTCCTCTCCCACTTCATCCCTGTACTTGGCATTACCCCATCCCAGGTGCAAAATCCAGCATTTGAACTTGGTACATTTCATTCCATTAGAAAAGTGGGGGTGGGGGGAAAAAAACGAAACCAAAAAACCAAACAAGAAAAATGGCAACAAAAAGAACAGAATTAATTAAATGGGTCCAACTTAAGAAATAAGATGGGGAAGGCCATTAGAGAGCCCATCTACAAATCAAAAGTAAAATAAAAAGGAAAAAAAATTATATCAATTCTCAACAACAGTCAGCTCCAAAAAATAGTGTAGAGCCTTTCAAAGAGAAAGGCTCTGTTTCAGCAGAGAGCATTATTGGCAACTCATTCAGCAACTCCCCAAAACCATAAAAGAAAAAAGAAGCTCCAGGTGATTCAGGAGTTTAAGACTGAAATGGTTTAGGCCAGTGGAACTGAGGTGTTAAATATGTTACATTCCATGTATGGCAAGTGAGCTGTGGGAAAAGGTGAAGGAAAAGCTGAAGAGGTTTTACTGACTTTTCATGCATCTCTCCTGCTTCACAGACATCTACATCTGGACTCCATGCCTTGCATGTGAATGGAGAGTGTTAAAGAGTGTGTGAGGACGCTTTCCCACATATTTGGAAACCTAAGGGAATGCTCCACAGCCAAAAGGAAAAGTGCAGTTTTATGCGCTAGATCCTCAGGGCTGTGTTTGAAGTGTCCCTGTGTGCTCCCAGCAGCAGAGAGCGCTGTGTCCTCAGCAGCAGCTCCCACTGGAAAGCCAGAGCTCGTTTTCATCTTTCTGTGGCAAGCACGAAGGGAAAACTGATATTTTAGCCATTACAGCGCTCCTCTCTATTGCTAAAGTATGCATTTTAAAATAATTTTAAAATAATTCTTTAACGAAGCACCAAAGTCATCATGGCAGCAAAATCCCAAATAAAATCTGCTAGTGATTTAGAAGACAGCAATGGTTAGAAACACAGCCAGGACTATATCCTGAATAAATTAGAAGTAAATACTGTAGGGGTGTAAAGAAATTACACAAGTCAGAGTAGGCATAGCAGAAGGAAGAAGAGAGATTCGATTTTGAGTCACTGAGGGCTGCAAAGAAGAAATTCTGCAAAGTAAGGACTCCCACTGAGGAAGGCAATCTGAGAAAGAGGTTATAAAGGGAGTGTTGATTAAATGTGTGTCAAAAGACTATCTGGGAAATCACTGAGAACAGGAGGAGAGGGGCATCTCAGATAAAAATATTGAGTGAGGGGGTATGGTGTGGCTTTTCTTTCCCGTATCTATTTCTTAAGAAATTTCTTGCAGCTGCTGTCAGGGGTGATTCCAGGGCAATAGATTCAGGATAAGCATTCCTTACATGACAGTGGTAAATCATAAATCAGGATTCTGGATGCTTTAACTAATGTCCCCAGCAAGTCCTCCAGCGTATCCAAAGGCATAAGATGAGCCAATTTACAAGCTATGGGACCAGCTCAGGGCTCCTGTTACAGAAGTAGCCAGGGCTGAAGTGTTTCCCAGGAAGCAGTGATGCATTCAGAGAACACAGATCTTAAACGCAACGGTCTGGGACAAAGTCCACGCAATAAAATTCCGCCAGTCCTGTCCTGGTTTATATATTCTCCCTGAGGAAAAGTCCCTCTACAAATTTTACCCAGATACCAGAAAACAAGATATTTAAAATAACTTATTTCTGTAGAAAAACCTGGAGTTCTGGAAGTGCAGGTGATTTCTGTAATCCTCAAAAAAAAAATGTTTCCAAATACCCCTCTGACATTCAGGCATGCCAGATTGCCATATGGATATCAGCATGAATATTTTAATTCTAGCATGAATGCATTTTAATTCTAGAAAGTTTGGTCAATAAATTTTCCAAGAGTCTGAAGATAAAAACCACAGCAATTGCAAAGAAAAATATTCTAGTAAATCAAAAGCATTTGCTAACAGGGAAGAATACATGGATTTATAAGATTTCTTTTAAAGATTTGCTGCTTCTATAAAGCTTGCTACTTCAAAGACTCATTTGTCTTAG